TTCATTTCGGCCAGCATTACCTTTAGAGAGAAAGAGACAGAGGAGAGAACATTAGGGAAATATATATCTAGGATCTCTTGCTCGGCATCACGGCTAGCTCACCTTGCCAAAGCTCCCTTTCCCCAGCACAGCCAGAAAGTTGAAGTCGCTGAGTTTAACCTGGTCCAGATTGTTGGATGGCAAATGGGTGAAGCGGATGTTGTCTGGCTCATCGATCACCTTCTTACCTGGGCCTAGCTTGGCTTTCTGCACTCAGGGCACAGAAAACGAAGTGTGTAAGAGATATTCTTCGACTGACACACACATAGTGTAAAGCTGCACTGTGTAGTTCAGACAAGAAACCTAGTTTCTAATTCCTAAAATGCCTAACATCTTTGAAAATGCTTATATGTGTAACACAAATTTAAATTACACTGAACCAATTGTAAACTTATAAGAAACTTCGTTGTAGAGGATTACTTTTATAGCAACATGATAGACACTTCCAGACCAACATGCTCATTTTCCCTGTTTAATTTTTTTTTTTTACAACTGCAGCCACTTTTATGTTTGAATTTCCATCGTAGTGATTATCCTCTACATGTGATCACGCACTCACACCGCTCATTTGCTCACAGCCACGATTAATAAGCAGAATTGAAAATTTAATGGGGTGAAATGGAGACTGTGGTGTCACTGTGGAAAAATAGCTCCATAGAAACAGATAGTTTAATAAAGTCCACTGAGCTGTGTCAAACAAGAGGACGCACTGACATTTATTTACAAATGTCATCTTAAAACATTGTTGACCTAAAAAAGAAGAAGAAGCTTCTTAACCACTAATTCTCTTTAAAATTAATTACAGCCTCTTTGTTGGCTTAAAGAAGAGAAGCTGAGAATATTAAAAGTATTACAGTAAGTAAAGACCTGTTTAAAACATCTTGCAGTAAAAAACACAGGAAATATTGGTGTCACATGTCCCATGACTTTATGTTTCAAAAAAAATGTGCGTGGTTATTTAGTGACATCATAATTTGGAGGTTAAAGTAGATCACTAATGTTGTAAACAATGAACATAAATATACTGTATGTATGTTTAGTAGACAACCTTATTTTGTGTCTGTATCACTTAACGTGTTTGACAATGCACTTGCATAACTGAAAACAGGCACAACATAATTTTAAGCATTGGTGAAATAACTTACATTACACTTATTGCGTCGCAAAAGCAATTCTGTCATTGTACTCAAACCTTAATACTACTCCTAGAGTGAAGAAGGACGAGATGCCACACTGTGGCTTTCCCGTGTGCATGCATGTCTGGTGCAGACAAGTGTAATGTTGATGACCTATATTAAGAAGATGCAAACTAAATTCTCTTCTATGCACTTCCTTATAAATAAATAAGGAAGGAATAAATCAAATCAAATCAAATCAAAAATCCTTCATGCCAAAGTCATGCGCAGTCTCCCAGTAGGCCAAGATGCTTCAAGAAGCTTGCTAGAAA